ATGCTGAAGTGCCCGGAATGGAATCCCCACTTCTCCGGGGTCCGTACAACACCCTTTCGCCCCACGATGTAGGCTTCTCTGTACATGTCCCGATACGTCATCTTGTAATGCTGATACTTAGTCCGTATTGTCCCGATGACGATCACGCCCTGTTGGCCCTTGGGCCGCCGCGTACATTGATCGGTAATTATATGTACCGTGCTCTCCGACACATCTCCAGGGGTTGCACTCCCGTATATGACGCAAGAGGGAATGGGTGGATAGGACTTGTCGTCGAAGCAATGGCTGATAGAACTTGGGCGGACCAAGTCCTCACGCATTATGCGTGCGGCACTTGCAATGCTCGTGCCGTGTCCGGCGGTGTAAATGTATGTTTCCCCTGGTGGGTCAGTGGCACGAGTGCCGAATGCTCTGCGAGTCTCACCAGCCCACGGGATGAATAACATAGTATGCACGCCGTCCGATATTGGCGTCAGCGTTGCTCCCAATTCGTTGCATGCTGAGCGCGTGCCCGACTGTAATACGGCATGCGCGAAATCAGTTAAAGTCTCCTGCCTGAAATCGCTGTCAGCAGCTATCTCGCCCAAAGTTTTGGCGAGTTTGTGCGCTTCCTCCAAGTCGACAGCGTGGGGGGTCGGCTTTTCATGATCATAAAGCTCAGAGAAAGGCGCCACATCAATCTGTGGTGGTCTGCTCAGTTTGCCCAGTTGTTCGAGGGTTGGCTGACCCGACGGGGCAGCTGTTGTGGATGCATCGTAGGTCGGAGCAGGTGTCCGAACAGAGCTGGGGGGATTTTGCCGAAGCTGTTGGCGCGAGGATGTGCCCTGGCTTGTCGGGGGCTGCTGTTGTGCGGCTTGGCTGCCCTGGATGCGGAGGGCGATGCGCTGAACCTGTGAAGCCAATGTTTTTTGTGGGACCTTGGGTGGGGTAGGTGGCCTTTGACGTGGCTGTGTTGCTCTGTAATGCCACTTGTTGGCATCATCATCACGCACTGTAGAATAGCTGCGGAGCACAACCGAGGTCCGAGGAGGCGTCGATGAAGCACGTCTGGTGTCCCTGCGAGAACGACTTCTGCGAGTGTCGCGGGATCGATGGTGTCTGCGTCGGCGGTGCTGTCTGCCGCTGCTTGCCGGCCGTGCTCGGCTGCGCGTGTGTCGACGGCGTCTAGTGCTCGCGGTGCGAGTCCTGCTGCGTGTGGGAGAATGCCGTCGTCTGCGTGGCAGCGGAGGATGATGGGGGGAGGTACGGGCTGCGAGCTGGTCAGTGTCTGCCGATCCTGTAGCTGGGGGTGGTGGTGGTTGTGCGGGTGGTACTGTGTTGACAGAAGGGGTATTGGCTGTGTTTGTTGGTTGTTGCTGTTGGGGCGTCATTGCCGGTGTCTGCGGGGCAGTGTATGCCGCATCGGCAGTGGGAACACTGGTGGGATGGGGTTGTGGAGCTTGTTGAATTGTTGTTGGCGGCGGTATGAGGGGTTGTTGAACGGGCTGTGTGGGAGGGAGATGGCAGGGTGCAAGTTGTGGTTGTGGGGCAGGTGGTGCAAAAGGAAAGTTGAATGTAGTAGGTTGGGCCTGATGCTGTGTTGAAGCGGAAAGGCTCATGGGAAAAGCTGTTGGATGGGTAGGCACAAGTGCAGGATTCATGAGCGGTGTGGGTTGTTGTGGCATGAATTGCTGGGGTGGTGGTTGTTGTGGCATCTGGGGTTGTGGTGTGCTGAGATGTGCGTAGATTGTCGGATGCTGTGGGATAGGAGCGGTGTGTCCGCACGGCATCATGGGGAAGCCGTGTGTTTGCTCAAGAGGAATTGTAGTGGGTTGTGTTGGCAGTGTGGGCTGCTGAGTGGCAGCAATGCCGGTTGGCATCGTGGCTGGGTAGCTTTGAGACTGCGGCACCCAGGTGTTCTGGTGAAATTGATTAAGCACCGGTCGGGCTGTTGGTGCATATGGTGTTGCTGGTGGCTGCGCGGCAAAATGTTCCGGCCACATAGCTGCAACGAAGCGGGTGAAACGCACACAGTTGCACAAGCAAAGTGCAGGCTGTCCTGATTGTCCCTGCTGGACTGATTTGAGAGGTCGTAGACGGAGAGAAGGAAGGTGGAGGGCCGAGTACTCTCCGGAGAGAGCGCTGCTTCACTTGCTGTAGACATCTTTACCACGTCTGCACTCATGACAGATGCACATGCCCTTGCAGTCCCTGAGGAATAGAGAAGTGAAAAACCCCGGGGCAGAATAGAGAGAACCTGTGCATTAGCGGACGGTTACTGCACTAGACGTCGGTTACCGCAACTGCACTCATGTCAGACTCACATGCAGGCATCAGAGAGAGAGAGATAAAGTAGCATCGGGAGATTCTGAACGATCTGAACGAAGGCTGAACACCCGGTTCATCACCGGTCTCCCCGGAGGGTCACCACGGCGCCATGACGGAAAGCCGTTGCTCTGGAGTCTCATCGACCCACGCTCATCACACTGATGGATTCGGCCAAGAGTACGAGTGCAAGAGGAAAAAGAGAGGCATGTTGTTCATGTTGTAAAAGTTTGTCAGATTGTGGCAACCGTACAACTTGTTTGTATAATCTGGACACCACAGGGGGCCTGTCCTCACACTAATCTTGGCACCACAGGGGGCTGCCGAAAATTGCGCAGGTACATGACTGAGCGTCCTCAATCACTTCCCTTCCAGTGACCTAGCTTCGTTGGATCAGGTCAGTCACTGGAAGCCTGATCCCCCTGCAACATTTGAATCGTTAAGTGTCAAATGTCTGATTGTGTTGCAAAGCAAAATTGCAAGCAGTGTAGGAGTGACCCTCTGCTCCCATGTACTAGGGAGGTTCACACACACACACACACACACACACACACACACACACATACATACAGACATACATCCGAAGAGGGAGGCAGGCAGACAAAAACAAATGCATACATACATACATACATACATACATACGTACATATACACATGTAACATATGGCATATCTGCATATGCATGTGGCTGAGGCTAGGTGGCCGAAGAAGTAGCCCCAGGCATTGAAACAATCTCTCTGCTGCGAGTAAAGCTTCTGTGATGACCCTGTCAGGACGAGCTTGTTCAGGTTGGGATGCCTTAAGTGTAACGTTTGAAGGGACGATGTGCGAGGTTGGCAAGACTGTGGAGTTTATGATTCAAACTTTATGCCAAGGTCCCAAGTTCGAAAATGTCTCTGCTTACTTTTTTTCGTTTCAACTGTCTACACCTCCGTGTTTATCCCTGCATTGTGACCAGTTCCTGATCTACATATATATATATATATACATATCTCTCTCTCTCTCTCTTTCTCTCTTTCTCTCTCTGTATCTATCTATCTATCTATCTACTGCTATGCCATGCTATGGTCACAGTTATATGTATTGACTCTTCATTTGTTTCTTGAGTTGATCGTATAAATGTCAAAAGTCTGCCTAATATTCATGCTCATATACATAGTCATATTGAAACGCATATTCCTTCTGTGTACACATGACATATACATGTGCACACGCTGTTGCATACACGTATACATACACATATGCAGGCAAATGTACATGCATATTCACATTCACATGCATATGTATATGTAGATGCTTACGTAGATAAACGGATGGACGCGGAAGATAGGGCAACATGAGAAAAAAAAAAAGATTTGGGATGATGAGATAAGATAAGATAGCATCAGGTGAGAAACCAGATACACATGGATCGATAGGTAGATACATAGACAGCTAGATAGAGAGAGAGAGAGAGAGCGTGACAGTGACATAGGTAGGTGATAAGGTAGAAAAGGTAGATAAGGTAGATAGTAAACAAGTAGATAGGTATATAGATAAGGCAAGATACAAAGATAGACGGGTAGATAGGTTGGTAGACAGATAGGCAGATAGACAGGTATATAGATGTATGGATATATGCATAGATAGATAGATAGATAGACAGATTACATGGATAGACAAACAGTCAGGTAAACACGTCGGGAGATAAGTAGACTGACAGATGCAGATGGTTACACAGGCACGCCTGTGTGCTTTTATGTATGTGTATTCACACGTACCTATACATATATACATACATATACATGTATACGGCATATGTATATGTATATGCATATGTGCATGTATATGCTAAACATAAATGTGTACATATGTATACATATACATATATATATATATATATATATATATATACGTATACATATTGTACGTGCATAAACATGTATGCATGTATTTATGTACGTGTATACAGATCGTAACTAAGTACGATTTACCAAGACACGTATTGTAGAGATAAAATATACCGTGCTCTAGATTTGGATTGGCTTTCAAAACAGGAGCTCCCTGGCAGAGGACCACGAGCGAAACGCGAGTTCGAAGACTTTCGCCAGTCGCTTCTCGGCTCCGGCAAACGGTCTGAAGTCTGTGTCATGATGGATGTAGGTTTAAGCAATGTCTAGGTTTCGGGTTTGAAGATTAAGGGTTTACATGATCGTGTGTCCGGGTTTGTTAGAACTGTCAGGGGCTTGGGGTGGCAAAAGCTTAGGGTGTAGGCTCGGGGATCGAAGAACTGGAGTGTCCATGATTTGCGACTGTCCTGGCGAATGCCCTGAACCTTGCATGGTCAAACCCAGTCTCTCAGATTGACATCCTCCTGTTGAAGCTTGGCCGGTGAAGGCGGTGAAGGCGACCATAGAGGGAGCAAAGAACTCTACTGCTTGAAATGGCATATTGAACCTACACCTTCCCTTGTTCAGGGGCCTTGCGATTGGGGGCTGAGGGTCGGGATGTCAATCCGACGCTGAGAGCTGTAAGAGGCAACTCGTGGAAAACAGCCCGAATGCCGAATGCTGACATCACGATGCTTGGCTGCAGGCTTGGAAGATCTAAGGAACCGAAGGTTGAGGCTTGAGGTCTAGGCTTTAACAACGGAGCCAAGGACTGCTCTAGAATCAATCGAGCACGACTCGCCTCAACACTTTCCACTTTCGCGGATCCTAACGGAGCTGCTGAATGATCCCCTGTTCGAGAACAAGCTGCACTTCACCTTCCGCAGGAATCATCACGACAGGAACAAGCAGGGAACGTTTGACAGTACTTGTTGCTTTACATGCTCGTCCCGGCTTATGGCGATTCTCTCAGTCTTCCGTCTTAACATCTCAGCTCCCACACGCATTCAAGGTCTCAGAGGCATCAACCAACGAGAGAGCAAGCAGGCAGTTGATGTGGAAGAGCAGGATTACCGAGCAAGTCGTGATCTCATTCTGCATTTCCAGCAGCTGCGAATGTTGTTGGTACGTCAACTTGTTGGATCTCAACTTTGGACTCGAGAGAAAGAGCTTGCGAGGTTCAGGCTGCGCAGGAACAGAGTGGGACAGCAGAAACCCCAAGCCTTCGATTCTTGGAAATCCGGGCCTCGTCAACGAGAGGCGAGAAACTCTGCCCTACAACGATTTCGACACAAGCATCGTCCACAGGAAAGAGCAAACCATTTCCAAAGCTGATGCTAGGTTGGTTGCTTCTGCCTGAGAAGGCAGGGTGTGGTTCGGAAAGTCTGAAGGGGCTCACTGCGAAGCCTGGTAAATGTCAATCTAGTTGCCACAACTATTGGAAGCGGCACTTGAGACATGTCTACGACTATACGATTGAGTCCCAAGACTGCAGGAAGGTGGCTGTTGCGAAGTATCGAAGCTCTTTTCTGAATCTGGGACTGTCAAGTGGAAGCCATAGATGTGTGCCACCAATTCTCTCTGGTGCTGTTCAGATTCCCTGCCGTCCTCTTCCATCAGCACCTCTCACCTACATTGCACCATCTGCCTTCCTGACGGTGGGGCCCCTGTTTTCTAGCCACGAACCCGAAGCTAACAAGACCAGTACACAAATTTACCTCAACCCTCAATCCCACCAATTAAGCTTCCCGGACTGCTGAACCCGGTCTTGCAAGCTCTGATCTGGATCGCGGAGGCCTAGATCACGAAGCGTCCACACCTCCACATCCTCGCGAGCTGCAAGGCACAGAGCCTAAACCCGAAATCCTGCGTGGAGGTTCACCAGCGAGACAGCAAGAAAAGCAGGAGGGGCGGGGTCGGATGTTGGCGCGGGGGGTTGACCGTGCCCAAGGGTCCACCGTCCCGGCAGGCTATAAGGCTCAATATGCCCTGAAGTCCCCAAGAGCCGTTAAAGCAAAACCAGCATGCCCCTCTGTTCGCCAAGCGAAACGACAACATTTTCACGGCGGCAACAGAGAAGAATGAAGAAGAAGATGAAGAATCAGGCAAGAAGAAGTGGAAGAAGAGGAAGCGACAGGAGACCCTACGGGCAGGATCGTCGTGCTCTCCGACGATAGAGCAATGACATCTTTCTTGGCATCATCATCATCATCATCACCACCATAAACACTACCATCAAAACCAACACCATCATCACCAGAGCTTCAGCTACAGCATCATCACATCCACAACGATGGCTAGAATAATTATTGGTTCTGCATCCTCCCCGGTCTTCTCCGGGTCAGCGGCGCTTTGAGAAGGACTGTCGGCGGCCTGAAGTCACGCACTCCAGGCCCAGTAACTTCTGCTTCTGGCGGCAGCTGCAGATGCTGCAGCTGCTACTACCGCCTTCTACGACCACGACGGCTATTGCTGCCACTCCGACTAGTACGATTTGGAGTACTAAAACGACGTCGGCGACGACAACGATAAAGACGAAGACGACGACGACCACCACCGCCACCGCCACCACCACTACCACCACTACCACCACTACGACCACTACCACCACTACCACCACTACCACCACTACGACCACTACCACCACTACCACCACTACCACCACTACCACCATTACCACCACTGGCACCACCACCACGACAACGACCACTTCCTCCGCGGCGAGTACGATGTCACAGTGACAAGGCACAATCCAAGCCAAATTTTGGCTTAGAAACCTGAATCAGATCTACATGCTGCCGCAAAATCCAAACAACTGCGACCCTGCAGCCAAAACTCAAGAAGTTCAAGCCAGCAGCGAGCAGCCTTCTCGGGGTCTACCACCGCATTCTTCGCACCACGGTCCAGCAGCAGGGCCTCCGCACCAGCTTGGTGTGTGCAACCACTCCACTAGCATTGGCAGGTATGGCTGAGCAAGTGCGCAAGATCAATTCCGGCCTACCGGCACAGCTTCTTCAAAACATGTACTGCATCTACTTACTACTGTTATTGACTAAGACTGCTGACTAGACTAGTGATAATATTCGTAACAGTAACAGTGCTAGGACTAGTACTAGTACTGGTACTGGTACTGCTGCTACTACTACTACTACTACTACTACTACTACTACCACGACTGCTACTCCTGCTACTACTGCTCCTTCTACTACTACTGCGACTGCCACTGCCACTGCCACTGCTACTGCTACTGCTACTGCTACTGCTACTGCTACTGCTACTGCTACTGCTACTACTAGTACTACCACCACCACCACCACCACCGCCACCACCACCACGACTACTACTGCTGCTGCTGCTGCTGCTGCTGCTGCTGCTACTGCTTCTACTACTACTACTACTACTACTACTACTACTACTACTACTACTACTACTACTACTACTACTACTACTACTACTACTACTACTCCGACTACTACTACTCCTCCTACATCTCCTACTCCTACTACTCCGACTACTTTTACTATTCCTATACTACTACTATGCCTACTCCTGCTCCGACTCCCAATCTCACTCCGACTCTTACTCCTGTCCGACTCCGCGTTCGACTACTGTGACTGGGACCGCTACTGCTGCCAATAAGGCTGCTAATGCTGCTTTCACGACGAGGGCGCCGGCGACCTCTTCCCGACGACGACAACTACCATCAAGACATCAGCACGGTTTCCCATGCTGCAACAGCCTCTGAACCGCCAAAACCCACCAAGTTCAAGCCAGGAAACCGGAGCCTCCTCGGAGTCTACCGCAGCGTTCTCCGCGCCCCGGTCCAGCAGCAGGGCCTCCGCCCCAGCTTGGGCTTTCGAGGGTTTGGAGCCTAAGGCTGACTGCCGCTAAGGGGTCTAGAGCTTCTCCCAAACTTGACCATTCGATACCACAGGCCGAGCTTTAGGGCTGCACCCACAACATCATCCCCAAAGCCCCGAGACTCGGCCGGCGGGAAGCACACAACCCAGCAAAGCCACAAACCTGAAATACCTTGAGATCCTCCTGACACTTGCAGCTGCGTCGCCTGCAGACCAGCATCTCTGGCCCCGCAGAAATCTTCCTGTAACAGTTGTGAAGAGGTCTGGACAGTTGCGGGGTTTTCCGGTGCCGAGTTTACGGTCTAGGGCCTAGGGATTGCTCTGGCCGCCGACTCCGTGCAGCTGAACTTGCTCGAGATTCCACCATGTGGTAAGTCTGCAAAGCACAAGATGACAACCAGAGAAGCTTCAGAGGCCATGCAAGCCCCAACCGTTTTCAGCACTCAGGTTTCAAGCTGAAGGCACTGAAGGGTCTACGGCGGGTCCTCGTAGCTGCTTCCCACGTGGAGAATCTCCTTCCAAGCGGCGAGTCTCGAGCCGTGGCAGTCGCTTGCTTTTCTATGCCTGGAAACCTGATTATGGTTGGACGGGTAGGTCTGAGGCATTCAGTTCGGAGGGGGGGAGTCGACTTTACAGCTGAGGCGCAGGCATCCGAGAGGCTTTTCAACCTTCCTGTGGGACCCTAACCACCACCGCTTGATCCTGCAACTCCTTCACCCACAAAAAAATCTGTGAAGCCCGCATCGCCTCTCTGCGCAAGCCGGGGACCCACAGGCTGGCCTGTCACAGGGAAGGGTGTCTGTCCGGCTGCAGGCTGTACAAAGGAAAACGTACATCGATTGGCAGCTTACTGCTTGAAGAGCCGATGGCTGGATGACGACGTCATTGGCTTCTCGACCTCCACACCTAGACCAACAGGCTACAGCATGCTTTCACAGCAAGATTCCGAGAATTCCGAGATAGCTTCAGCTTTAGAAAGCCGCAGCTTCGACTGCGAGCTTCAGCTTCAGGTGCTGGCATGCAATACAAATCCCAAACTATTAACAGCGACAGCACATGCAATCAAAGGCGACGGTGGCGTCATGTGCGACTGTCTGCAGCTTACAATGCTTGCCGGACAAGTACATGCCTCACACAGGATGAAGAGGCAGCTGCTGAGAAAAAGCCCTTCCGCAAGCAGAGGACCGTTCCACTTCCAACAGCGAATCCCCTGGCCTCCCTCCACACCTCTACATAGATCCACCTCGGCCAGAGCTCAACAGATGAGTGATGAGTTGGTTTGTTCGATGGGGTGTCAGAGCGTGGACAGCCTGAGGCATCCAGAGAGGAAAAGAGGATGCTTCTCGTTGTCAGGACCTGGAGAGCGCACAAGCATCCCCTTCACTACAACGTGCACGGCAAACTGGGACCATCTGGGTCAACTCTGCAGGACTGGGGGCACAGGATGCAAGAGGCATGCTTGGATACCTCAACCAGTTGTGCACCCCCCCTTCCCCCTTCCCCAGATGTTCAAGCTTCAGAAGTTCGCAAATCCCTTAGATGCTCTGAGCTGCTGATTTGGCTTCTGATAGCCAACCTCTTGCGAGGTGATGAACCACCTGCACCGTTTGTATGTACGGTAAATAAACGGATCTAAACTGGCGGAGAGTGGCGAGGATCCAAAGGCCTAATTTTGAGTCTAGGGCTTTGTTAGCAAGGTTGGATAGACGCTCCTCGTAACGAGCACGATTACTTCTGAGTGACATGCAAGCTGCTGATGCTGTTGGTACTATAATGAATGCGTTGCCAGACATGGGAACTGGGTTGTTTCTCTCAGCTTGTAGCCGTGTCGGGACTGGCCTGGCACGCTTCTTGCAGAGCTTGGGCTTTCGTTATCTAATGGGCCTCATGAAGTCGTGGAAGCCCAACATGGGCAGTGTGGTATCGAGGACCCGCGCGTCCTCATTTGTGGTCACCTTGGCTCGGCGAATACGTTCATGTCTCTGAGGATCAAGGAAGGAAGGGTCTCGGTTCTTCGTAGACAGACAGGGGCACAGGACTTGAGATGGTTTACCGGAGTCGGCATCGACCAGGTCCGGAGGTCAGGCATCCAGGCTTCCAGCGCTGGCAGCTGGGCTTCGGAAGCTTCCAAAATTCAAAATCCTTAAGCCCTGTATGCAGCCAAAGATGGGCAGAAGTCCGCTCATGGCTGCATTGAACACTTAAGGATCAAGACCCACAGATGACATGTCACTCTCAACTTTCCTCAAGCTCCATAACCAATCCTCAAACAATCCGAAGCCCCGGCCTTAGCCCCTTTGCACCAAGAAATATTTCTCCCCTGCTCCCCACTCACCCCAACCTGAAAAACCTGGTAGGGTTTAGGGAGGAGGAGGGTAGCGCAGGCGCAAACCTCCAACTGCGCAAACCACTGGGCACCCGCACCCCGACCGTCAAGCCCTGCTGACGAGTCCATTCCTCTGCTCGACATCGTGAGGGGTGGGATCTTGGGGACATGCGTCATCGGTATGCCGTGGCAGCTAGATACCAAGGCAAGTCTGAAGCATCCGGAACCTTCTGACATTGAGAACTCTAAAAGTAGCACACAATACAGGAGAGCAATCCAACCGACGAAAGAACATTCAAGATGTGCAATTTGCGATGTTCGCAAAACCGGCACAGCGAACCATCGTCCGGGGACAACCACTTATTCCACAAGGGGGTTAACTGGCTGTCACGTTGGATGCTGCGCTGTCTTTGTGTTCTACAATGCTGCATCCCGCCGTACTGAAACATATCGTGATATCAGACTACGAAGTGCATGAATCCATGCATGCATGTATGCTCGCTTACGAACATACCTACCACACACGAACACATATCCACATACCGTGCTATACCGCAACACAGCCAATCCTTAGGGAACTGTCTCCGCGGTCTGTGTTTCTCAGCTGGCGATTTTTCCGGCCCTGCTCCCACTGCTCACTCCCTTCCAAGATGCATGCGGCAGAAGCTATCGTGCTTCGGAGGCTTGTGTTCATGACAGCAAAACTGTCGACAGGAAGTCCGAAAACATCAAAACTGTTTCGAACTCCCCTGACAGAGACAAACCCAAAGATGATAGAAACACTGTTGCAACAAACACAAAACAAGCTCAAACCAAACCGGTTTGCTCTGAACCCACACACACACACACCTAAGCACAACAACTCTACGTCTACGTACAGCGTTTCTACCTCTGAGGACGACATGATTCCCGACATCGGCTAGTTTTGAATCACCCGGATGAGCTGAAGCCTAGGTCCTAGGTGAACCACCTGCTATAGTAGATCCTGATTTGGGCGAGCCTCCCAAACGCTGAATCAGAAATCCCCCAAAT